GGGGGAGGGAAATGGGAGGCTGGGAGGAGGCGGAAACTTTTTTTTTCTTATTCTCAATAAAATAAAAAAAATGAAAAAAAAAGTAGACTCAAGCAGGATGGTGCATTGAAATGATCGAAAGGCTGCAGGCTTTTTTAGTGAGAGCCCAGGTAAGGGCGGGCGGGCACATGCACGCATTTCACAGGGAGCAGCCTGAGGTCATCAATACAGTCAGACAGATGAAAACTTAAAGATGCATCTCAAACATAAAAAGATTTGACGCGACGTTAATTTGCGCCATGTCCAACCTTTGCTTTTACCGGAGGCAATAAAAGTAAATTTTACAACTGGACAAAGAACTTGAACATTATTTATTAGTTTTTCCCTTTTTTTCCTTCCTGATAATTCTTTTTCAAGGTTTTAACAAGTAGGACCAGTAGGAGATAAAGTGAGAATGTTGCTGTTCAATATCTCAGAGTAAAGCCTTATGTAGGTAACGCTCATCAGTCTACCAGCTCAAAAGGGAATCTCTGGCTGGAGCTTCACAGTGTCCAGCTCCAAGCAATGCAGCACAAGGTACAGTAAGTCCAGTGAGAGACCCCTCTTCCATGTCACGGGCCCGGCCTGATCAAAGATCCTGGGGCTGGTACGTGAGTGCTGGTCAGCCACCTGCTCAACCAAAGGGCAGCTTTAGCCCACCAGACTAGCTCAAACATAGTCCAGTGTTTGGAAGAGGCCAAAAGAAGTAAAATCGTAACTGATGCCTGTCCTGGGAAATCAGTTTGATATTAGTCCTGGGACCAAGTTAGATTTTAATCCTCAGCGTGGCCCACAAATGCAGCCCAATCTAAAGTTAAAGAAAATGAAAGTCAGAGTCATGTATCAGACTTCTTTATCTCAGAGACGTTCGCAGTAATTCTCTCTCACATACAGTTTACTCCGTGTGGTCCCATGTCAGAGGCGCAAAAATAAGAGATGGATAATTCTAGAAATGAAGGGTTCATGCTTTTGAAATTCTGAGGAGTGTGATGCTGTTCCATGCCCTCTGGTCTAGGACATGCGTCTTCTCTTTGTCTAACCTCTCCGTGGTACATTGCTCCCCTTGGTGACATCATAGGCCTCTTGTCCTTAGATTGCCTGTCAGAGTACTGCAGTGGCTGTGTCCAGGCAGACCTCAGTTTACTTCATCATAGGCCTGAAGTATGGGGTGGCTGTGATGCCAAAGAGAATCTGCACGGTGCTTCTTGTAAGTGAGAGATAATGAAATGAGAGAGATAGGCGAGAGAGGGAGAGAGAGAGAGGAGAGAGAAGAGAGAAGAAAATATTCACTTATATTCACTCTTATTGTGATATAATTTTTAAATTTATATATGAGGTGAATATATA